GCTCTTCTAATCGCCCGGCTGTCTGGCTGGGCGTAATCAGCAGCCAGGCTATTTGCCTCAACCTCCCACCCCGCCATAAAGGTCTCCCCCTTGCTCTCACACAGATTGTGGAGCACACAGCAAGCTGCAATAACGATGGGGATATTGGTTTCGCTGAGATCACAGCGAGTGAGTAAGCTTCTCCATCTCCCCTTGAGACGGCCAAAAGCACACTCCACTACCATTCTGCACTTGCTCAGCCGGTAGTTGAACAGTTCTTTTTCTGTGTCCAGGGCGCCAGTATAGGGCTTCATGAGCCAGGGCATTAGCGGGTAGGCTGGGTCCCCGAGGATCACTGTAGGCATCTCCACATCCCCAACAGTTATCTTGTGGTCCGGGAAGTAAATACCTTCCTGCAGCCGTCTAAACAGACCAGAGTTCCTGAACACGCGAGCGTCATGAACCTTGCCCGGCCATCCGACGTAGATGTTTGTAAACCGTCCCCGATGGTCCACCAGTGCTTGCAGCACCATTGAAAAGTACCCCTTTCTATTGATGTACTGGCTGGCCTGGTGGCCCGGTCCCAGGATAGGGATGTGAGTCCCATCTATAGCCCCACCGCAGTTTGGGAATCCCATCGCAGCGAAGCCATCTATGATGGCCTGCGCGTTTCCCAGGGTCACTACCTTTGACAGCAGTACCTTGACGATTGCCTTGGCTACTTGCATGACAACAACCCCCACGGTAGATTTGCCCACGCCAAAGTGGTTCGCGACTGACCGGTAGCTGTCCGGCGTTGCAAGCTTCCAGAGGGCTATGGCCACTCGCTTCTGGACAGTCAGGGCTGCTCGCATGCGGGTGTCCTTGCGCTTCAGGGCAGGGGACAGCAACTCACAAAGTTCCAGGAAAGTCCCCTTCCGCATGCGAAAGTTTCGCAGCCACTGGGATTCATCCCAGACCTGAAGCACTATGCGGTCCCACCAGTCCGTGCTTGTTTCCCGGGCCCAGAATCGCCGTTCAACAAAATCCACATGCCCCATTGCAAACGTGATGTCCTCGGCGCTGGGTGTCGTGGTTTCTGACAGCTCTGTGCTACTCTCCGACTTCAGGCCCTCACTCCGCTGCCGTAGCCTCCTCGCCTGATTTCTCTGCATCTGCCTCTGGGAAAGGTGTATGATAAGGTGCGAGGCGTTGAGAACGGCCACAACTGCAGCGATGGTCGCAGCGGGATCCATGATCGCAGTGCTGTGGCGTCCGCGCTGTCACTGATCAAAAAGTGCGCGAACTGATTTCCCGCCGGCGCTTTCAGGGAGGGAGGCAGGGCGGTAGTGACTGACGGATGACGACAGTTACCCAAAAGCACCCTCGCCACAATTTTTTACCCAGAAGCCATTGGGGGCTCGACCCAGAATTCCACTGGGCAGCGGGGACTGCGGGAACTGTGGGATAGCTGCCCACAGTGCACTGCTTCCAATGTCGACGCTTTCCCTGGTAGTGTGGACTGACAAAGTCGAATTACTGTCCTTAGTGTAGACACACACGTTCGACTTTCTAATATCGATTGCACATATTCGATTTAACTAAAATCGAACTACTCTCGTAGTGTAGACATACCCTGACTCTCCAAGGTACTGTTTTCTGATCTTGTTCAGTTTACCTCGGGCAAGGTGAAATGCTTCAAGAGGTGTAAGGCCCTGTTTCTGGAGCAGCGTGGATAGTGAAGCCACTAACTAATGTTATTCGGTATTCCATGGTATTCAGCTTTTTGTGGCAGTATTTAGAAACTGGATCAGTATCTTTGTCTTGCTCAAAATATTCCAGAAGAGGATTACAGTTGCGAATAATTGCTTGAAGTGCAAAGTGCCTAGATAACCAGCGCACTTCACTGAGTGGCCTGAAAGCCACTGACTCACATTCAGAAGCATCCACTATTTCCTGAAATTTGCATTTTCTCCCGGATGACTGACAGAACACCGTGTAGACAGTTCTCATTAAGGTTTCTATGTGTCTTATCAGCTTGACCTCTTTCCATGCATCGGAAATCCCCAAGTCTTCCCGGTGTGCAATGCAATGTTGCTGGACTAAGTGTGGAATATCACATTTCAGCTGAGCCACCACGCCATTGAGTTTGCTCAACATCACGGAGGCACCATCAGATGTGAACATCACCATTTTCATTAGATCAAGTTGGTGTTTTTTATAAAACTCTTTGATTGCAGACACTATTGAAACAGCATTACATTCTTGCAATCGTAATAGTCCACCAAACAAAGTTTTATAGTCTGCAGAATTTATGGATCTATATTTAAAGTAGAGTATCAAGTATCTGTTAATGGATATATCAGTGCTTTCATCAACAGCTAGAGTATGAAACATTGCTGATGCTATTTCATGCATGAGGTCATTTTGGACAATGCAGTTGATAATTTCAAGAAATTCAAAAGCATAATTTTGACTTCTCCAGCTCGCTGGTATGCACACATACTTTTCCATATGATCATTAATATCCTGAACAGAAAGCATTGAATGGTTCATTTTAATAGCCAACAACACACTGTCAGTAAGTACCTTGATTTGTTCTGGGTTTGAGCGCTTGCATTCAAGATTAATTTGCCTCCTCTGCTTTTCAGCTGGACTTTCAAGAATCATGCTAAGTAATCCGCTCCGTAAGGAAGGGTTTTTGTTTCTAAGTCTTGTTACACCATCTATATGAGACTTACTTGACAGATGACGCTTTAAGAAATCCAACTTCCATACATCATTCCACATTCTTCCTGTTGAAAATTCTCCCGAAGCTCTGGCATCTCGACAATATACACAAACCACTCCGTTGTCCTCATCATATGTGAATATTTCATGAAGTTTAACAAGCATTACACTATGTGTCTTCGGTGTAACCGTCTCTATAGTCTCATCCAGCCATCCAGATTTAAATGAAGTCACTGTTCTTTTACACTTTAGACCTCTAGACAGTGACATTTTGGGATTGATTTTTTATTAGATTGGTTTATTTAAAATTAATACTTTTATTATATGGCTACTATTTCAATGCCCTTAACAGCATGACTCAACAAAAGGGCAAACGGGAGATCATTCAGATCAGGATACCAGAAGTTTGTGCATAGCAAAAAAACGCGGCAAAAAATGCGGGAAAATGGTAAAACATCACGAGTAAATGTATGCAGTCCAATGCCTTTGAAAGATTTCAGTCACGAAAACAACACTTACCTTTGTTCATTCCTGGGAAATCTTTGCAGTTCCTTAGCAACTACGGCCAGGCATTTTGACTTATTCGCATGTACTTGAGTTTGTACACAGCCAAATGAAGAGACTACAAGGAGATGTGTGGGTCCCGATGTGATCAACGTTCCACTTTCGAAATGCTGGCGGGGAGGGATACGAACGATTCATTGCCCTCCTTTCCCTTTTCCCCCCCTTGCCAGCTAGTAGAATCTGGCTGTGTTGATAGATGGCAGGCGAACAATGTCAAAAGGCTCTGATGTAGTATTTCATTTTTTGTGTGCGCGGTGTTTCGCTGTGTGCGCGCGGTTTAGGATCTGTGTGTACGTGCACAGCTTAGAGGGAACAATGATCTAGACTGTTCTCAGTGGTGGCAGATGACAGAACAAGGAGTAATGGTCTCAAGTTGCAGGGGGGGAGGCTTAGGTTGGATATTAGGAAAATCTTTTTCACTAGGAGAGTGGTGAAGCACTGGAATGGGTTACCTAGGGAGGTGGTGGACTCTCCTTCCTTAGAGGTTTTTAAGGCCCGGCTTGACAATGCCCTGGCTGGGATGATTTAGTTGGGGATTGGTCCTACTTTGAGCAGGGGATTGGACTAGATGACCTCCTGAGGTCCCTTCCAACCCTGATATTCTATGATTCTATGATATTCTCTACTGCAATAATCCCCCTGTGACGCATGGCTAGAAAGGGTTAAACATCCTGCAAAATAAATAACCCACAGAGGACATGTGGGAGATAATGTTTGTGTTTTTGTGTATTTACATATGTAGGAGTAGGATGGACAATGTAATCAACAGTCCCTGTCTATGCTGTATTCTGATAGTTCAGAGGTCAAAAGAAGAGTAAACATGGGATCTCTCGGTATTCATCTCTCTTTGAAATGTACTGTGAATGGTGGAGGAACAAGCAAATGGTCTTATGTTAGTTCGTATAGCTAAGTACCGGTGATGGACCTCCTTCAAAGTCATCCTAATTACCTTTTGTTCCCCGAGGAAATCCCAACTTGTCAAAGAGGACATGAAATTGTATAAAAGATCCTTGGGTCCTGATTCTGTCATCGCAGATCTGCTTAGACTTCAATAGGGGAAGTCTGAGTCGCAAGACTGAGGTCCCAGTTATGCTGGTACGCCCTGGATATATTTGGACCTATGAACTGAATGCTAAAGGAACTCTTTGAACTACAAAGCTCACCATCTCTGCTATGAATCTAAACCTCAATGAATTGAACTCATGTCTGTATGTATATTGATCTTTTAACCATACTCTTTCTTTTGTTTTTTAATAAATTTTAGTTTAGTTAATAAGAATTGGCTGTAGCGTGTATTTGGGTAAGATCTGAAACATTCATTAACCTGGGAGGTAATGTGTCCAATCCTTTGGGATTGGTAGAACCTTTTTCTTTTATATGACGAGAAATCAGAAATCATCATATTTGACGTGAGTACCTGGATGGAGGCCTGAGGCTGGATCACTTTAAGAGAACTGTGTTGTTTGGACTTCTGAGTAACCAGTAAAGTAATAAAGTAGCTGTTTTATGCTGGCTTGGTAAATCTAAGTATTGGAATATCCACCAGCTTTTTGGGGTTTGGCTGCCCCATTTTTTGTAGTTTGCCCTAATTTAGTAACCATAGTTGGCCCCCACTAGGACCCCGGTCATACCCCCAAATCCCCACCCCTCCACAGCAATAATCCCCCCAAAACCCTCTGCTTCACTGTGATAATCCCCCCCCCCAAAGCGATTGCTGACGCTGTTCTAATCCCCCCTCTCCCTCTCACCTTGGTGTAGTACTTGCGGTTGGAGCAGCGATAATGTGCAAACTGGCAGAAGGTTTGAAACCACGAGGCATCTGGGAGGTCAGAACAGATAGGGCCTAGAAACAGAGTGAGATGCGGTGTCAATATTAACAGGGAACTTACTCCCCTGCCCACAGGTGTATGAACCAGATCATAGAATCACAGAATATCAGGGTTGGAAGGGACCTCAGGGGGTCATCTAGTCCAACCCCCTGCTCAAAGCAGGACCAATCCCCACCTAAATCATCCCAGCCAGGGCTTTGTCAAGCCTGACCTTAAAAACCTCTAAGGAAGGAGATTCCACCACCTTCCTAGGTAACCTATTCCAGTGCTTCACCACCCTCCTAGTGAAAAAGTTTTTTCCTAATATCCAACCTAAACCTTCCCCACTGCAACTTGAGACCATTACTCCTTGTTCTGTCATCCGCTACCACTGAGAACAGTCTAGATCCATCCTCTTTGGAACCCCCTTTCAGGTAGTTGAAAACAGCTATCAAATCCACCCCCATCCTTCTCTTCTGCAGACTAAACAATCCCAGTTCCCTCAGTCTCTCCTCATAAGTCATGTGCGCCAGCCCCCTAAACATTTTGTTGCCCTCCACTGGACTCTTTCCAATTTTTCCATATCCTTCTTGTAGCGTGGGGCCCAAAACTGGACAGAGTACTCCAGATGAGGCCTCACCAATATCGAATAGAGGGGAATGATCACGTCTCTCGATCTGCTGACAATGCCCCTATGTACACAGATTAAGGCAAGGGCACCTGTTTGTTGGATGTGGAAGAAAATGCTGAATGTGTGCATGGGGACCCAAAGCACCCCTTAGAGCTAAGCTACAGAGCTCTGTGCAGTTAATGCTCAGGCAGTCTCCTGGCTGCTATATACTCTCCCTATGTCAATCTGTGGGAGTGCCTCATGTTATGGCCTAGTTTGACCACCTGCTTTGGACCTCTGTGACAGAGTGGGAATTGTTTACTTTCCTCATGGATTGTATTTTCTAAATTGACAACCAACCTAATTCTCAATTACTGAGGGACAATCTCCACTCATTGATATATTTTGCTTTCCACAACCAAATCTCTATACAACTTTTAATGAGTGATGTACCCAAGTATTCAGATTCTAATATCTAAACTGTATTGTTAAATCTATTCACCTAAATTTGGGTTATTGCTGATTATGTACTCTATGTATCATATGACTTTTAAAAACAAACTTTGTATTTGTGGATAATCTAGGAACTATACCCAGTTGTACAGACACTCTTTTCTCATTCTAAGTATTATATAATTTTTTTTAACATTAGCTTTAATAAAATTTTGAAATTTGTATGCAGCCTATGTGCGCCTCAATTTCCCTTATGTGCTGCATTGTTACCTAGAGGCGGAGAAAGGACTGCTTGCTCTCAGGGCAGGTGAAGAGACATAGATATGGGTAAAAACAACGAGGAGTCCTTGTGGCACCTTAGAGACTAACAAATTTATTGGGCATAAGCTCTCGTGGGCTAAAACCCACTTCATCAGATGCATGGAGTGAAAAATACAGTAAACAGTATAAATATTACAGCACATTAAAAGATGGGAGTTGCCTTACCAAGTGGGGGGGGTCAGTGCTAACGAGGCCAATTCAATTAAGGTGGAAGTGGCCTATTCTCAATGGTTGACAACAAGGGGTGAATATCAAAGGAGGAAAATTACTTTTGTAGTGCTTATGAGGCCAATGCAATCAAGGTGGACGTCGCCCATTTCCAACAGTTGACAAGAAGGTGTGAGTATCAGCAGAGGGGAAAATTACTTTTTGTAGTGACCCATCCACTAGATGTGATATAGATAGATATGGGTGTCACCTAGTTGCCTGGGCCTTGATCCCCATATCAGTGGGACATCTGAGAAGACAATGGTAAATCCATTCACTAAGATGTTCACACCTAGCAACCAATGACCCAGAGAGATACAGACTTCCCTGCCTCTCAGCAGGGGGGCTGAGCCACATTTTCCCTGGGCTGCGGGGGAGGTGGAAGTTAAGTGTGGGCTGTGGGAAGCAGTCGGACACACACCTAGGAATCTGATGAAAGGGTCTGATGGAGGGACAAAGCGAGCTTGAACGCTGGGGTTCACTACAGCTTGGCTGGGCTCTGGCTATCCTCTCCATCTGGCTCCCATCCACAGGAGCCAGGGATAGGCTGGGTCTCACAGGATCACTGTGGGCATTTCCACATCCCCCATTGGAATCTTCTGGCCTGGAAAGAAAGTCCCAGCATGCAGCTTTCTGTACAGGCCAGTGTTCTGAAAGGGTGCGTGAATCAAGCACCTTCCCTGACCATCCCACAGTGATGTCAGTGAAATGGCCTCGGTGATCCACCAGCGCGTACAAGACAATGGAGAAGTAGCCCTTTCTATTGATGTACTCCATCGCAAGATGGCCTGGGGCCAAAATGGGGATATGTGCATCATCTATCGCCCTGCTGCAGTTAGGGAATCCCATTGCGGCAAAGCCATCCACTATTTCCTGCACATTACCAAGGCCTGGTCTACACTAACCCCCCAAGTCGAAGTAAGGTACGCAACTTCAGCTACGTGAATAACGTAGCTGAAGTCGACATACCTTACTTCGAACTTACCGCGGTTCAGACGCGGTCCACACGCGGCAGGCAGGCTCCCCGTCGACTCCGCGGTACTCCTCTCGCCGAGCTGGAGTACCGCAGTCGACGGCGAGCACTTCCTGGTTCAACTTATCGCGTCCAGACCAGACGCGATAAGTCGAACCCAGAACTTCGATCCCCAGCCACCGAACTAGCGGCTGGGTGTAGACCAGCCCCAAGTTACAGTCTTTTGTAGCAGGAGGGGATTAATAGCCCTGCACACTTGCATCACCGCAACTCCCACGGTGGACTTTCCAACTCCAAACTGATTCGCAACTGACTGGTAGCAATTTGGAGTAACCAGCTTCCACACAGCAATTGCGACTCACTTTCCAACAGTGCGGGCAGCTCTCATTCTGGTGTCCTTGTGCCACAGGGTGGGGCAAGCTCCGCACACAGATCCTGGAAGGTGGCTTTGCACATCTGAAAGTTCTGCAGCCACTGCTTGTCATCCCACACCTGCATCATGATGTGATCCCACCACTCAGTGCTTGTTTCCCAAGCCCAGTACTGACAGACCACTATGTGCAGCTGCTCCGTGAATGACAGCAGTGATCTTGAATTATTTGTTTCCATGGCAGACAGCAGGGCAGGCACCACCGATTCATCCTCTGTTTCGCAGTGCGGATATTGCAGATCAGCCGCATTGTTTTCATAATGCACATCACCAGACTGGTCAGCAGTTCAGGATCCATGCTGTCAGGCAGAGATGGCAGGCGCACAGTTTACAAAGACTGTTGAAAGTGGCACAAAATGCTATCGGTTCCCAGAGCTCTGAGCAGCAGAGGGTGACGGAGGGTGGCGAGTTGCACAGTGGGATAGCTACCCGCGATGCAACGCTCTCTGTTGATGCAAGAGCAACGACTGTGGACACACTCCACTGACACAAGGAGCGTTGTGTGGACATGCAAAACTGATGTAATTAAAGCAGCTTATTATCGTTGACGTAACTTAAGTCAATTTAACTCTGTAGTGTAGACAAGGCCTTAATGGAGCAATGGCTCAGGGGTGCTTCTTAGGGCTTCTGACACAGGGAAATTTACTGGCATCATTACACAGCTATAGAATACTAGTGTAACTTAGGGTGACCAGA